GGGGGGGCTATGATGAGATAACGTGTTAGGTCGGTAAAAAGGAGGTGAATAGAGAGCAAGGCTTTTAGTGACTGACCACAAAGCCAACATTACAGAATAAATACCTGTATTTGTGAAGAGACATTAAGTGTGTGGATCCTCTTTTATGGTTCACACCAGAGATGGAATGTAACAAAGTACATTTACTCAAGTATTTTACACATTTAAGGTCCTTGTTATTTACTTGAGTATTTTCTTTTCATGACACTTTATACTGTACTTCAGCTCCACTTGGAACATACGTGTTACCTTACTTCATTCATTTTACAGCTTTAGTTACTAGTTACTTTCTGGATAAAAATTCTTGCAAGAGTTTATACAAATATAATATTTGATTATAAACTAAACTAGACAACAGTCTGCACAAGAACAGATTGGTCGTATAATCAACTATCCAAATGAAAGATAATGAATAAGCCTCCATGTCATATCCGTCATTTTCTATTTTCTTTGAAATTGTTTTGATTTTTTTACGGTGTATCTTTTTTATTTAATTTAGATGTTTCTGTCTTTGGAAGTTTTACATTAAATACTTTTACTACATTTCGGAATTTGACTTACTGACTTTTATTAAAGAAATCATTTCTAATGCAGGACTTTGACAGAGTCTTTTTACAGTGTGGTGTTATTACTTTTACCTTAAGAGCTTTACAGTCATTTTGTATTATTACATGTTACTTGTTAGACGCTTTTATCCAAAGCGACTTACATACTCAATACTGTGGGAAATCCCCACAGGAGCAATTTGGGGTGAAGTGTCTCAGGGACACAATGACATGTTGACTGCAGTGGGGTTTGAACCTGTGACCCCCTGATCCGAACACCAACGCACTACCCACTACACTACACGCCTCCACTTACATGTAGATCATAAATGGCCATCTCGTCAATCAAAAACATTTGACATGCCCATTGAAGAAAATGCAAACAGACTCCCAGGCCGAGAAACAAGCAGTGGAAACATCTGGGAAGGTCATCACGTAACTGAGCAATCCAAAGAGATGCTCGAGAAAATAGGGAGGGTGGGGTCAGAGAGGGTCTGAATATTTTAGAAGAGCAAAGTGTATCTATTCACTTGTTCTGATCACGAGTCTCTACACCGAGCCAGGTGATTGGATGGACAGTCAAACCTCTGATCCTACATCAGGTATACCATCATTAAAGTCATATCTGATGAGGGGGCCAGGGTGCTCTGGTCCCTCAGAGGGTCCTCGTCACTCATTATGTATCTTTAATATCTGCCTAGAATATTTACCATTGTGTACCATTTTCCTTTTTTATTTAAACATTATATTTTCTAACATTTGGACTGTCGATTTTGTAAATGTATTATCTTTTCTAATAATATAACCTCCCCCCGAGATTTATTCAGTTTGTCCCCATTAACTGTTGGGTAACTTTATTCTTTGAGATGGTAGGGTTTTGCACCCCCCCCCCCCTGCCAAAACAACTGTTGCGCAATCCATACGTTTAACCATGATCCCCATGCTGCCTCAGTGATACTGAAGCAGGTGTTCCATACCCTTTGTGAGATATTAGGGCCTAAAGACATCTGATGTCTCACTATCAGAGAATATTTGTTTGTGTACGCTGTGATTCCTTATATCTATGTAATCTTATCAAACAGAACAATCTGAGATACGGCTGCTTTAACCTCCATTACATTCTTGTTTAAAGAGAAGTGAAAAATTAATAGTTTACAGTCTCACCAGAGGACGCAGCTCCATGGCTGCTCTCCTTCCTTTGACACTCATCTGAAATGATGTGAAATTCCCTGTCATGACAATCCTCAGCTGTGAGAGAGGCTCTGCTGAGAAGATGAGTCCACACAATCCCAAAAGCATGTGGTCAATATCACATAATAACCCACCTATTGTTCAGATGTACTCCCTGCTCCTACCTCAGGGGGCTTTAGGAGGGTAATGGTGTGCAGCGAGACAAATGGAATGATACATTCCTGGGTTCATGGACTCCGGCTTAATGCAGAGACTGTTATCTTCTTTTCATGGCAGAGATCTGAGATATCTGGGGACTGTAGGGCATCTGAAAACAACCCTTTTGGCAGCCAGCATGGTGCCTTGTCTTGTTCAAGTGTTCAAACTCTTCTGTTTGAGAACCAGGAAGTGGTGTCAGGAAACAGCTCCATGCAGGCCCAACCCCTTTTTTCACCTGAGAAGAAGGAGGGGCCCCACTGAGGGGAAAACAAGGAAGAGCTCACAAGCAGGCAGCAGTTCAGTGTTCAGTGTTCACTTGCCCAGATTGTGCCTTGGAGACGGATAAAAGAGGAGTTTGCCCTGCTGGTGGGTCACTCGACACGGATATGGACGCCCAGGATTCTCCACATGGGAATATGGGGCTGTTAAGGACCTTTGACTCCTCCATGTTTGACAGCTGGGAGAAAATAGGCTCAGGTGGATTTGGACAAGTATACAAAGTCAGGCACGTACAGTGGAAAACATGGCTGGCTATCAAGTGCCCTCCCTGCCTTCATATGGATGACAAGTGAGTTATGGCTGTTGCGCCACATGGATTCTCTTTAAACTGATGAACCACAATTTCAAACTGTCTTCTCCCGGCTCTGTTCTGTTAGTTTCCTTCATGAGGGGCCACACAGGAGGCAGACAGAGGCTTATATTGTGACTGTGTTGGTGAGAAGTCATTCAGTGAGTGCCTGTGAGCCCTTGAGAGGTGAATACCAGGGAATGTGTGACTCACCTGCTGCTGGTCCGGGCACACAGTGCGGCTGTACAGGGGCCAAAGCAGAAAGCAGGGGCCATGCTTAGCTTTCTAGACACTGTGAGGTTGTGTTTGAGGGACCACTGACATGTTGATTTCTCCCCCTGGCAAAAGTAAGCCACATTGCTCCGGGCCATAGCTGTTTACTTCTATTCTAACAAGACCCAAACATGAAAGGTTCACTGCTGGTTTCCCCAATCAACAGACAGGGTTTCTCCATGGAATACTGGGAGGTGATTTCAATTAATGTAAATGTCAGAAAGGTGGTCTTTTCCCCCAGGCAATGCTCGGGTTGCTCAACCCTCTTGGATTTTGCATAACCATGACTCATGATTTTGCTCTGCACAGATCCCTACAAAAAAGGCGATTTATGATTCTATATTTTGGAAGTGTTTGTGTGAGATAACAATCTATGGAAATTTCCATTCTTCTTGACTTTGTGTGTACACATTGTTCATCTGTGGGCTTCACATCTATTATCAATATTATATCACTAAAACCTTCCGTGTTTAATCCTCTCAGAACCTGTGGTGCAACTTAAAGCCTCGCCGAACCTGAACCACAGATGTTATCATCCCCAAACATCTGCAAAGTAAACAGTGGTTTGACTGCAGCCTTCATTGACCCGCGCATATCACCAGCAGCAGGGACTCAAAGCCACCTTTGTCTCCTGCTGCTGTGTGGCACACACAATTCAAGAAGCCGTAAAACAGGTCTTACAGGGCCTGTCTGTTAAAACGGGACATTGTTTGGTTCTGAGGGTGCTGCTGAGGAGCACTTTGGATTGGATGAAGAGTTTAGCAAACAATTGCTTTCCCATTCTCCCATGTCATGTGTGATTATTCCTGCCTGGCAGACTTGGGGGATTTGCCTCCTTCACTTGTACTGTGTATAAAGGACAATTATAGGCAGGCTCCCTTCTATAGACCATGTTAGTAACCTGATGCATGTCGCTACTAATAGACCCCTAGGCATCTAATTTCATTTTATTCATGGTGGACACATAGAGTTCTCCCCTGGCTCACCAGTGATATATCTTCCTCTCATCTACTTCATTAAGGGTTTGCATTTTTAGGCTTGTTCGCTGAGGTCATGAATGACCTGCCCGGTTGTGTGTGAGGTAGGCCGACAGGGCCAGTGCACTGATAAAGAGAGCTGTGCAAAGGTTGAGCAACAGAAAAAGAGCTCTGTCAGGCCGGCCGGCTGCCTGATGCATTCCAGGCCGGCCACAATGTCCTGGAGGCCTCAGAAGAGCCAAGAGCACAATCCACAATCTTGATCTGAGCAGTGGTAAATCAATAACAGATGTCTGGGGGGTCACACTCTGACACAGCTCTGAGGGGAATGCCAGTAAACATTCTGCTGTGAGTTCAGCAAGCATTACATGGTGTGCTGGAATCTGTGTTAGGACAAAAGTATTGCCAAATATTACAGCTCAATGAGTAGGACGACCTCACACTTACCAGATTACTGTTTTACGAGAAGGTTGATAAGTACCTGTGTGAAAATGTATGTGGTTAAAAACAATCTAACCTACATACCATAAATCTGTGTTTCAGTTTTGTTTTTAAAATGACAGTCCCTCCAGCAGAAGAGCATGATTCAATGGTGCCACTCACATTTCACTTTGTGTATCCTTTTTTAAAACGCAGGGACCGTTCAGAGCTACTGGAGGAGGCTAAGAAGATGGAGGCAGCCAAGTTCCGCTACATCCTGCCTGTGTACGGGATCTGTGCGGACCCCCAGGGCCTGGTCATGGAGTACATGGAGACGGGCTCCCTGGAGACCCTGCTGGCCACCGAGCCGCTGCCCTGGGAGCTGCGCTTCCGCATCATCCACGAGACGGCGGTGGGGATGAACTTCCTGCACTGCATGAACCCCCCCCTGCTCCACCTGGACCTGAAGCCGGCCAACATCCTGCTGGACGCTCACTATCACGTCAAGGTACAGAGATTATCACTGAGTGGTGCCTCTGAAGTGATTTTCTTCTGCCTCCATTGAGTTCATTATGAAATTAGTGACACCAAAGGTTATTATCATATTCTGCTGGTACTGTGAACATATCTGAAATATTTGTAATATTATGACATGATATTTTACACACAGAAGATTGCATAAAATCGAGTTAATGAAAATATTATAAATGTTAACTACCCTCAACTTAAAAGAAAAAAACTAAAAGAATAACCAAAAAAGGAAAGAAAAGAAAAGAAAGCTAACAAAAATAAATACAGACAAAAAGAGCAGAAAACTCACCAATCTGTTAACATTACTAATTTAATCAAAATCATGAATTATTATAATTGTTTTCATGTTTTGAATCATAGTTTAAGGATGTAATGTTTGGTGGTTGAGGATTGCCATGAAGTTATATCACAGTCTTCTTTGTTATAAAGCTGGATTTCAGTTTAAAGGAATGTCAGCCATGAGGAGGTTTGCTATTCCTTTTTATCCATTTTCATTTGGCAGCCCAGCACACGCTCTGGGCAGACAGTGTCTATCAGCCTCTGTCCAACCTCAGAGCAGCTCAACTGTACTGAGAGCGATGGGTGGGAACTGTCATTTCTGGAGTTTGATATGTGGATGTAAACACCTCACCGGGCTAGTCCAGACAGGATTAATTCAGCTCCTATTAAAGCTCCCTCTGTCAGTGTGTGCCTGAAAGAGTGTGGGCGTGCACTCTGAAACGTGAAGGGCCTCTCCTCTCTGCAGGCTGGGACACGGCTGCCCGCATCATACACTGAGTGCTCATAATGGAGCTCAGTGGGCAGACTTAGTCATCAGTGTCACACTGCTTCCTGAGAAAGGGTGCTCTGTTTGAGGGTCTTATCTGATCTCTCTCTGTCTCAGATATCTGATTTTGGCCTGGCCCGCTGGAACGGCCTGTCTCGGGCTGATGACATCAGCAGAGACGGCTTCTGCGGCACCATTGCCTACCTGCCGCCTGAGAGCATCATTGAGAAGGACAGAGCGTCGGACACCAAGCATGATGTATACAGGTTTGTTTTTCAGCACTCTTTCTGTGTCAATGCAGGTTTTTCCTGACTGTCGGCCTTTTCCCTTTAATGAATCACTGTTATTAATCACATCAAGGAGATGGAGTAGCCAATTACTTATACCATGTTTAACATTACTGAAGACAGATGCATTTTATTTTCTTACAAAGTTTTAGTTAAAGGGGAACATATATTTATAACCACATTTACATTAAATTATTTTTGACAAACTGACAGCACTGGTTTAATCAGGGAGCATAAGCTACAGTATTTCAGCTTCATATTGAAAATGTGTTTGGCAGCATTATGTCTGAGCTTTTCTTTGTACTGACATCTCTTAATTTTCTTTTGCCTCTATTCCAGTTTCTCCATAGTCATCTGGGGGATTCTCACACAGAAGAAACCCTACCAAGGTGAGACTTGCATGAAAACAATAAGGATTTCCTTAGAGGCCAACAAAAACAAAACAACAAGTATAAATAATGATAGTAACTGAACATATTGATAGACTTCTTGATAAGGTCTGGTTTATTTTTTATTTTTTAATGAATGATTTATGGCAACACGTAATTAACAAGACAAAAGTCTACAGTGATGCTAGCCGCTATGGAGCTGAACTCAGGCACAGTGGTGCTTCAAAGATGAATGCTAACACTAGCATGCTAACATGCTCACAATGACTGTTGACATGCTGAAAAGAGGTATGATATTAACCATGGTCGTAATCTTAGATTAATACGTTAGCATGCTAACATTTGGAACTTAACAATTACACAAAGTCTAGGTAAGGATGATGGGAATGTTATTAGTTTTGTTTGATACATATTTCACACCATAAATATCCATCTCATGGTTACGCTAGAGCTTGACCACACCAAGTCAGAGGATCACCAAAGTCAGCAGAATCGTCTTCTGGGGGAAATGAATGTCTGTACACAATATCGCACAACCCAGAGACATTACAGTCTACATCGACATAGTTATACTGCTGCCACAGCAAACATTGCTATTATTAGTCACATTGTAGGGACTACAGATGGCTGTAAATCATTACAATTACCTTTTTTAAGGTAAAACATTGTAGGTGCTTATTTGTTTACTCTTTGAATTCCAAAGCAGGCAGTTGGGCAGGGTATATTTTCTCCCAGGCGTATCAGGTAGCAGTTCTCTCCAAGGTATTTGGCTCCTTTAAAGCCCAGCAAAGGATCCCAGGTTGGCACTGGCACCGCCTCTGTTGATCCAGACATAATTAAAAAGTTAAAAAGTGGCCTGGTTACCATCCCATTCCTTCTTCCTCCTCCACCTGCAAAGGGTATTATGGTTACAAAAGGAGGTGAAGTACCAGTGATTAAGGCCTCCACCTGTTTGTTCTGAATCATTGACATGGCTGATCCCACAGTCAGATAGAAAAAGGCCAGGGCAGGAACTCTTGAGAGCTTTTAACGTGGGAAACAACAGTGGTCACACACTGCCTTATCTGAGCATGTGGGAAGGTGGGGATAAAGGTTACCATGTATATCTGCACCGGCTCCTAGCAGCGCCTTATTATGTCATCATATATTACATTTTTTTTTCAAATATAGCCTGAAATATAAGTGACGAAACTGAAGTATCTTATTTTCTTTTGCTAGGTGAGAACAATATCCTTCAGATCATGGTGAAGGTTGTGAAGGGGGTGCGTCCGGACCTGGCTGCTGTGCCGCGCTGCCGGCCCTCGGCCTGCACTGGGTTCCTGAGCCTCATGCAGCGCTGCTGGACCACAAACCCGGACGCCAGACCCAGCTTCCAGGGTGAGTTGTGCCTCTTTACTCACAATAAACTGTGGGTGTTATAGTCTTTATTTTTTATTTGTTACAATAGTCTTTACATTTGTTTTTGTAATAGTAATATTTTTTGCTCTTTATATTTAAAATAAATGGCGTATTTTTCTTTCTGTGTCTTTGTATGCACCATTTATACCAGAGCAAATTATAGTATTGGTTTTAACCATTATATTAAAAAGAAAATGAAATATTTATATGACGTTAATGATGCACAGTTGATTAAATGGTGTACATCTTAAATAATTAGGTTATAGTTTCTATAAGGCTCTCTTCACATGACTTCACAAGACATTAATTTGCCAAAATAGAGACAAATACGCACAATAAAAAAAAGTAAAAGAGGAAGTGACTGATAGCATTCTTTTTGTCTTTCTGCGTTGCTCAATAGATACAGCAATAATATAGGTGTGTGAATTATTTTGGCAACACTAATTAGGTATTAGAAATCACATATTGTACCAGCCTCTGGCAAATGAAGAACATCAATCTCAAACACAGTGATCCTGTTCCTTTAGCTAAACACAACATTAGCATAATATATAATTACACAGGCCAGTTTAATATATGATATTCTTTCTCCTAACTTAAGCTTTCCATTCCTCTTCTATACCCTAATCTATCCCTGCTATCACTGAAACATGACACAGAGCTGTTTCCTTCCAGAAATCACATCTGAAGCTGAGGATCTCTGCTCTAAACCTCAAGAGGAGACCAGGACACCAACCCCGTCAACATCAGAGCCAGAGCCCAAGACCCCCAACGCTCTCACCAGTGACCAGGTAACACATGACCAAAGCCACTAAGGATGGAAGACGTAGTGTGTGTTATTGTCAGCTTTGTTCAAGCATAGTACAGTAGATCATGTAAAGCTCCGTTTCCAATGGGGATAAACAGCTGAAGTGATTATCCACTTCATATTTTCTTGTTTTACTTCTCCATTGTTCTTCTTAAAGCTTTTAAACAGACTGATTGCTTTCTCATTTAATGTGTTACTAAACACTCAGACACTGAGCGGCTTATCTCTTTATTGCTCCAGACATGACTATGACTTTTTGCGTCACATGTTGTGTAAATGTTTGATCCTAAACAGTAGTTGCCTCACAAATCAGGAATGTTGACAGATGGGATTGTTTGGACTCCTTGCTGCTTCTTCATTTCCTTTGAACTTGCTGTGTACGTGACTAGAGGTGAACTTCCTGTAAGGGACAGGCGACAGCTGTTAATCAATAATATCCGGACAGAAGACAGGCTGTTGTGAACTTCCGTATGTGTTGACTTTAAAGGACTTTATGAAACCCAAGTTCAACAAAAAATCACAATGTCAACATTCAACAGCTCCTGTACCGAGAGCAGCTGTGTGCAAGAGCGGCAGCTTCATAACTGGGAATACACTTAATGGTACAACCCAATATGCTCATCTGGCTTTTTGTTTTACAGGTTAAAGACAACAAGATGGTGCGTCCAAAGTCAGCCATGTTGCCGGAAAAAGATTACAGCCTGTCGGAGCTGTTGAGCCAGGTGGATTCTGGGATCTCGAGGAGCTTTGATCGACTAAAGGAGGAAGGTTGCCACAGCAAGGAGAACACATGCAAGAGGCTGTCTGGCATCTCGTCAGCTGATTCAGCCTTCTCCTCCCAAGACTCCATCACGCTGTCTTTTGAGAAAGAAAACACATGTGGTAAGAGCTAATCATAAACTGTGAAGTGTAACTTTTAGGGTTAGTCATTCATGCAGAAATGCAAGAGACCATCGCCTGCTGAGGCGATATTATTGCGGGCATTGGCCAAATTTGGTCAGACGCACATCTTTGCTATTTGTTTGTCGCCAATCAAACATCCTTACACTTGCATAGAATTGAAGTGATGTGATAAATAATCACTTAAGTTCATTTTGCGCATGTGTGACCGTGCCATTATTCGTGTAAACTTAAAGTACTACAGAAACCTTATTACTGGATTTTTTTTTGTTTCGATCCTTTTACTTCTTACCACCTAGATTCTGCTGAGGTCCAGAGGCGTAAGCTGTGTGAGGCCATCAGGACCAAAGACACTGCCAAGCTGATGAAGATCCTCCAGCCTCAGGATGTGGATCTTACCCTAGAGGGAGGAGGCAGTCTGCTCCACCACGCCGTCACTCTGGGCAATGAGGAGGCCATCAAGTTCCTCCTCCTGAACAATGCCAATCCCAACTTTGCAAATGCTCGTGGCTCCACCCCCCTGCACCTGGCCACAGAGAAGCACCTGAAGTCCCTGGCAGAACTTCTGCTTGGTCGGCGCAGTACCAACATTAATGCCAAGGATGAGGACCAGTACACAGCGCTGCACTGGGCTGCCCAGATCGGGGACGAGGCCATCACACGGCTGCTGCTGGACCGGGGGGCGGCCATCAACGAGACCGATGGCCAGGGACGCACGCCGGCTCATGTGGCATGCCAGCACGGCCAGGAGAACGTCATCCGGGTGCTGCTGAGCAGGGGGGTTGATGTACGGATCAGGGGTAAGGACAACTGGACGGCACTCCACTTTGCTTCCTGGCAAGGACATCTTGGCATCGTCAAGCTGCTGGTCAAGCAGGCCGGCAGCGACGTGAACGGGCAGACCACAGACGGCCGCACTCCGCTGCATCTGGCTTCCTACAGGGGCCATTACCGGGTAGCACGGATCCTTATTGAACTAGGAGCGGACATCCATATGACGTCCGCTGGGTTAAATGCTCCCCTGCACGTGGCGGCAGAGACAGGTCACACCAGCACCTCCCGCCTCCTGATCAAACACAAGGCAGATATTCTCGCACACAACGCCCACGGACACACTCCTCTCCACCTCGCCTCACAGCGAGGACATCTGGCCACAGTCAAGATGTTGATAGAAGAGGGGGCGGACCCCGAGAGTTCCAACCAGGCCCTACGCACTCCCTGCCACCTGGCAGCCGAGAACGGACACTGTGAAGTCCTGAAAGAGCTGCTCCTCCACTGTCCAGATGGTGGCGCTGTGCTGGACGAGCAGGGCCTCAGTCCGTTACACCTGGCAGTACAGGGGGGGTACTCAAACATCATCACAATGCTGCTGCCCCAGGACAGCCAGGACCTGGTTGCTACGAGCCCAGTGCAGGCAGCAGCTGATCCGCCCGCTCCTCTGGAGGTGAAGCTGCCTCAGAGGAAGGTCGTCATCCTCAAACTGACGGAGCACAAAGACTGCCCACAGCCCAGCAGCTCACAGTGTGCCTCCGCCCCCTGCTAACAAGAGCAGAGGCCCTGCCTGTACAGAACTCTCTTCCATGTCATTTTTATACTTTTTAAGAACGTTTTTGGGACTTTAAAGCCTTTTCAGCACTGTAGGTTATCCTTATGGCCAGAAAAGCTTGAATGTAAATATGTACACTGTGAATAGAAAGCATAAAAAACATTTTGTGTTTGGATTTTAACTTTTTTACTTAACAAGCTAATTTTTTTACTTTACCAGCATCAGCATCAGAGTTATGATTAGGAAAACCATGAGCTTGATAGAGGGTTTCACTGAACCGTACTGCAGCTGGTATGCCTGTAAATCTTATTTAAGAGATCACAAACATCGCTCACAAGCTTTACTAGGGGTATGCTGTAGATCATCAGAGCCATTGCATTAATGAAAAACATTATTTCAGTGTTCTTAACCTGTTATATATCAGTGCTGGATCATCCATTAAAACATTGGAAACCTTAATTTTGTTTGACCTTTTTTCATATTGGTAAGTTTTCAAGGCGCAGGTGTGTCAGTTTTAAAACCACAATAATGAAATGCTATTCAAGGCGCAAATATGCAAACATACTGTTTGTGCAATAATACGTAAAAACAGATGTCGAACACCTAAGAGGGCAAAACTAAAACTAACTATATTTACAAAGGATGACATGAAACAATTGCAAAAGCTTATTCCTTGCACTTCTTTTTTCTTGAGTATTTTAGTACTTTTCTTTTTCAAATGTTTGATTTGCAGTTGAGCAATTGTTTTATTTAGTCATAACTGGAAGTATAACCATTTTAATTCCAATCCAATTTGGTGTCCGAAAATGGGGACAAACATTTTGATACAACCAAGATTTACCTATGTTAAAGGGGCCTATTCTGCTGATGGTCAGCTTCATATCAGTATATAGTGTCTCAACTGGGACATGTCTCCATGCTTTAATGTTCAAAAAGCTCTTTCTTGTTCTCATACTGCCTGTGCTGCAGCACCTCTTTTCACCCTCTGTCTGAAACCAGAGCCCAGTCTGCTCTGATTGGTTAGCTGGCTGGCTGGCTGGTAGTGTGTTGGAGAGAAACTCCCTCTGGAGGGAACAGGGATTTTAGCCTTTGCAGACCATTTACATGCACTAAAACCTATAATATACACTTCAGGAAAGGGAAAACTATAAAAAGCACAATAGGCCCCCTTTAATGTCACACTGAGGATGAAAAGACTCTCCCACTCCACAAAATACTCTATTTTCTTGTCACTATTTAAAGTTGTACTGGTTTTCCAAATAAGTAAAAGTATATATTGAGAACTTTCTCTCAACATGTCCTGTCCATGCAGGCTTGGTGGAGACAGATCTGGTTTCAGAGTCTGTCAGTGAGTCTCAGAGTTTTTTCTGCCACTGCTCCACCTGCATGAGAGCTGGAATGATCTGCCTTGATGTCAGGCGGAGTTGGCATGTCTGCATCTGCAGCCTTACCTGTAGTATTATTATTATGTCTCCAGACCCCACAGAGCACGCTCAGGTTGGCACAGAGCATGGGAACTGCCCCCGAGGGGGATCACAGGCTGCAGGATGATGGATGAGTGATAAGGGGTGCTGCAGTTCTACCTGCAACTCCAGCCTGTTGGCTAATTCTTTAGACCACTTCAGCTTTTCATCACTCACTTAAACCAACATGCCATGCCGCCTCTGACGCCTCAAGGGCTCGTTTTTTTGTAATCTGAGAAATTGAGTACGGGTGCTTTAATTGTCTTGTTTTTATAGCTCGTGTTTGCGGAGTGTCAGAAAAGAGCTGGTGAGATGTGTATAATCTGAGGGTGCCTGTGTTGTGTACAGCAGTTTGTCCTGCCTGTTGCCTGGTGACCTGCCTCAGATCCAGCTATGGGGAAGACAATAGCCATGCTGTTGACTAATCTCAGCTTCCATCTCCTGTCAAGACTGCTGTTGTCTTTAATGGACTGGTAGGTTAGTGTCATACAGTAACTTACAGTGGTGTTTTTTTCCTTCTGGGCTACAGAATGACTGACTGTAATAAACTAGGTGAAAGGTCATTTAAACCACCAGTTTTCAACTACCGTAACATGTCAAATGTAACACTAACAGATCATTGGAAACTCTGATATTGCAAAGAAATAAACTGAATGACAGCACAAATTAAAAATAAGTATTTTTTATTGATTCCATGTTTTGCAATTATGTAGTTTTAAAAGAGACACAAATTGAAATCTATTTAGATATTTTTTAAATGACGTAACAATTACGCCAAACAAAAAACTACAGTAATACAATTCAGCAGAAGCAACAGACTGAAGCAAAAGGGATTATTTTCCCGCAATTCGGGAGAGTATCTTTAGAATCAGAACCAGACTAAGGTTTATTGTGAAATAGGTATTCATTTACAAAGAATTTGCCTTGATGCTTGGTGATATATAAAATGTAATAAACCATTACGATTCAAACAAAGGACAACAAAAACAGTCCTGACATATTTACTTCAAACAAGCAATATAACTATAAGTGCAGCTGCATCAACACAACTTTTAAGTGCATCTTTTTTTTTATTCACTGACATAACTGAGTCATTTCCTTTTCTTTGTGGTATAAGAGTTGAGCAGGAGGAGTTTTTTTTATAACAGTAACAGAAATCTTAAGCTTGAAGGCAGACAAATTCAGAGGTACCCAGTTCTGTCGGAGAAAATATGACCGGTGACAGAGTGCTGCATCATTAGATATTAATAGTTTCCCTGGGAAAGGAAATGCACTAAAGAAATTCTGTGTGTTCGTTTTTTATTTTTTTTTATTTGATTCACCCAACAAATTATTGTTGTCAACATTTCATAAATGTGATTTTTTAGTTTGACAGTTATGGTTACTATTAACTCTGTAGATTAGGATTTTACCGTAGACGGTAAGAAGATGTATCATCTTTTTAGAAAATATAACTTTTGTACTTTTTAGTAGAATTTCGACTTCAACTTGTGAAAGAAAACATAAAAGAGGCCCTATTATGATTTGTGTAAATGATATGGTAAAACTCCTACATTTAAATGTCTTAAAGTGAAGTGCAACAAGGAGTTCAGTACTCTTCCGTCTCTTTCTACATAATGATTGAATGTAATGGCTGAGCAGTCATGATGGGTGAATGAATGAGATTATCTGTATCTGAAAAGAGTCAGCAGTGAATTCATGTTGCAGTTTACATGTATTGTTATGGGTGCAGTTATCTTGACAAGCAAGGTTTTTGTGATCAGTCTGCCTCTCTGAAGATTGCAAGACTTCCTTCTTGTAAGACATGGTGTCTGGTTGCTCCCTCTTTTGTTTGACTATGATGGAGACTGAGTCATGTCTTATGGCTCAGGCAGACCAATAACAAACCCCATGAACATGCAGAGGTGATGCAAGGCCCTTATCAAGATATAGGAAATAACAAGGTGGTTTAATGGCTGTTTCTGTAAAGGAAATCAAAGTAAAACCTTTAGAAAAGTATTGATTTATTATCTTTTCCCCACCTCTTTCCTTACATTTCGGTTAAAGTTCATCTGAAAATAAAAGCCGGAGCCAATGAAGTCAACATATCTTCTGCACACGGGCAGAATAGAGCTCAGAGTGCTTTGGGCTGTTTTTCTCCACACTCTTTCTTGTTGGCCTCTCCCCTTACTTTAACCTCACAGAACTGGCTGAACCAGATCTGAGGCTGAGTCTAAGACTGCGAGGCAAGCTGCAACATGTGGATGCAGCGTCAGGGTGAAAACATGGATGTGGGCGCACTCAGCATGATGAATTATAGGATTTATGGCTAACTAAGAAAAAGGTGAATACACCATTAAAATGACAGTCAATCATTAAAAACACATCACTCATTTCAGTTGATTAAGAAGAGGAAACATATTGACATATAATAACATAATTTAGTTTAACCAAACCATGATCAATAACTGTTGCTGAACAATCACTCAAATGTGTAATTTGGCTTCTGACGTTGTGCACTTAACTAATTGTCTAATGACATTGCATCAGAAGGGGAGAGTAGCTTCCTGTAAAGTCTGAGAACATAATATGGTGAGGTCCAAGTCCACACTGAGGGGTGGGGGGTCCCGATCTGTCCACATGACATCAGTCTTGGCACACTTGATCCTGGCTTTGCAACAAATTGCGTGATCATAAATGGAAATACATCTGTAATGCAGAAGTAGTATTATGTCATATGATCTTATCTGCCTATTTGGATGGCAGTTGCAAATATACATGGGTTAACTGTATAAGGACTGATTGAAAATTATTCGATATCAGTTTAATTTGGCAGCCTGCATACACAAAGCCTGTGTGTGATTGTGTGATTTGGATACACAATGAAGGTGTCTGCACAGCAGAGGCTGCCATATGGGCCACACAAACTTAAGCCTGACCTAACTGACACAGCACATAGTGAACATGCAGCCTGCCTATTGGCTGTTTCTGCGCTGTACTCCAGGACATAGGGGGCAGATGTGGTGTAGAAAATTGACATTACTAGTGTGTAACTTGTGTGATACAGCTATATTGTGCAACCATTTATCTTCATATTATTACAATACGAAACACTTTATTGTCCTCGTAAGGAAATTAGTTTTGGACTCAGTCCTGCAGTTCCAAAGAAGATAAACAATCCTAGATACTCCATAGTACAAGATCAAATAAAACAGCATATTCACACATGACTTACATGTACACGGTTTGCACATACAAGTTTACGCAGACAACATACTGACAGTGACGCCCTATTGCACAAATCCCATGGCCGACATTTAAACTACACATTGCTTTTGTTGTATTAGATGGTATCATGTACCAAGATCATGAGAGACAGGGAGCATAACATTTTGGGCAAGCTTTTTTTTTAACAACCTAGTTTTTTGTAGGTCTAGGATAATAAGGCGTTACCTGTCATGCATCTTTGACAAAGGGAAGAGGGAAGCTTTGGCAGTGGCAGTTGTACTGCTGCTGTTTGGCCAGGAGATGGCACACACTCTTTGAAAGAGTGATGCTAATCACTGAGTCACATTCCAGAACACTCCAGGGCATTATAATGACCTCCTTCAATGCACTTTTGTTTAAATGAGCTGTTTCCTATGATAACTTGCTACTTTTTGTTTGCTTTTGTTAATCAACAACAACAGTTTACCAAGAGCAGTTGTCATGGTGAAAATAATTATTTAATGAGGTAGAAATTATTCAGAGAAGCTCTTTTATGCCAAAGGAGCGGTGATGATTGCATAATGCATGCAATCTAGCATACATTGAGATGCAGATTGGCCTTATTTGACACTGCCATCTGCTAGATCCTGCTACAATACGACAACTCATAACACACAGGATCAACTGAACGGACAATCTGCAATCTGAATAAAATCCACGTGCATAATGTAGCCATTAGCAGCATGCCACTACAGAGGCCATAGCTGAACAATGCAGATGACAGTTCCCCCTGGGCACTGCAGAACGTTT